CCGGGCAATATCGCTGTTACTGTTACAGCTCAGCTGGCTGGACAGAGCAAAGTGACACCCTGGAACTGGTGGTGACAGGTGAGGGGACAGACAGAGTCTCAGACCCAGGCTCTAGTCTCAGGATTATTTCCCTTCTCTAGCCTAGCACCAGAGAGCTTTGTGGTTGTGTGAGCCCATGTAACAGTTGCTTCTTCCCTCCTAGGAAACTACAACAGTAAACCCACTCTGTCAGCCCTACTCAGAAATGTGGTGACCTCAGGAGGGAACATGACTCCCCAGTGTGTCTCATGGGAGGGATTAGACAAGTTCATTCTCACCAAAGAAGATGAGAAGTTCTCTAGCTCCCTGGACTCACAGTTTATATTCACTAATGTGCGCTACCAAGCCACGTTCTCTATGGGTCCTGGGACCCCAGTGCACAGAGTGACATTCCAACATTATGGTTACTTGAAAAATACCGCACAATTGTGGTCAGTACTCAGTGACACCCTGAAAATCCACATCTCAGGAGAATCAGCCACATCATTGTCCTATGGTTTTTGGACACCCTAAACTCTTTGCCCCAGTTCTACCCCTCTAGGGAGCTGTGGGTACAGAATGACTAAATGGAGATCCTGTGCTCTGAGCCAGAGCAGGACATCTGGGAGAGGAAGTGACGTGTTCAGAGAAGGGTGGGAGGGGATAGGTGTTTGGTTAAAAAAAATATCCAGCTCTTCAATCAGTATCCTGTCACCTTCCCTCCAGGCCTGTCCAAGAAGCCCTCTCTGCTGACTCACCAAGGCCATATCCTGGACCCTGGAAAGAACCTCATCCTGCAGTGTTGCTCTGACATCAACTATGACAGATTTGCTCTGTACAAGGTGGGGGGAGCTGACTTCACCCAGCACCAGGGCCAGAGGACCCAGGTTGGCCTCTCCTTGGCCACCTTCACACTGGGAAATGTGAGCAGCTCTACTGCAGGGCAGTACAGATGCTCCTGGGAGAGGAAGTGACCTGCTCAGAGAAGGGTGGGAGGGGATAGGTGTTTGGTTAAAAAAAATACCCAGCTCTTTCTTCAATCACTCTCCTGTCACCTTCCCTCCAGGCCTGTCCATGAAGCCCTCTCTGCTGACTCACCAAGGCCATATCCTGGACCCTGGAAAGAACCTCATCCTGCAGTGTTCCTCTGACATCAACTATGACAGATTTGCTCTGTACAAGGTGGGGGGAGCTCACTTCACCCAGCACTATGGCCAGAGGACCCAAGCTGGCCTCTCCTTAGCCAACTTCACACTGGGAAATGTGAGCAGCTCTACTGCAGGGCAGTACAGATGCTATGGTGCACACAAGCTCTCCTCTGAGTGGTCAGCCTCCAGTGATCCCCTGGTCATCATGATCACAGGTGAGGAACTAAAAAGATTGGATCTGGTACCTAAGGTCTGCATATGCCATCATGGTGGACCGAAGAGATGACGGCTGGGATGAGAGACAGGGATCTTATTTGGGAACAGAGGGAGAGACAGGGAGCTGGAGAAACAGTAAGGAAGACATAAAGCAGAGTCATAGGTGCTCAGAGTCGACCCTTGTGAAGTCTCAGCTCAGAGCATTGAAGGCAGCCTCTCATTATCTCTGCTCTCTTTAGGTCAGCTTCCTGACAGTCCTTTCCTCTCAGGGAAGCCAAATTCAACAGTGCAGTCTGGAGACAACGTGATCCTGCTGTGTCAGTCAACATACACGACAGACACTTTCATTCTGTCCAAGGAGGGAGCAGCACACCAACCCCAGCGAATGAAATCCAAGTCCCAAGATGGGGAGTTCCAGGCAGAATTCTCCATGACTGCTGTGACCTCTGCCCTCTCAGGCACCTACAGGTGCTACAGGTCTAGAGGCTCATCTCCCTACCTGTTGTCACATGCCAGTGCCCCTGTGGAGCTCTCTGTCTCAGGTGAGGTGATCCTGAACTCTCAACATGACTTCAAATACAATCAGTAGGAGAGCTCTTGGCTTGTGTGGGATTAAGGGGACAATAGGAAGGGTTGGTCAGAAGGCTCTTCCCTGACAGAGAAGTGGATGCCAGCAGGGTCCCTTAAGTAATGTCCACTCTATCCTCTATTGCAATCTTTTGTTTGGGGAAGACAGCATGAGGGTCTTGGGGAGGTTACAGGGCAGATGTCGATAGACAACAGAGGCCGGTCCCCGAATTAGCATCTAATGCTCACCCCCTCTTGTTCTGTTTTCTAGGACCCCTTGGATCCTTCAGCCCACCACCCCCAAGTCCCTTGCCAACTGCTGGTATGTATTAGGTACCTCAGTGGAGGGAGTAGGAACATCCCCAGGCTGCCTTGCCTGAGCCCACCAAGTCCTCAATTCTCTGTCACTTAGATTGTGAGTGTGGCAGGCAAACAGAGATCCCAACAGAGAGCCCAGAAGCCCATGACTTAGAGGTTGGGTTATAGAAGATGTCCAGAGAGAGATATTCAGGTTCAGTCTGGAATATGGGGCAGGTGGGTGAGGTGGAGAGCATGGCTCCCAGATACTCACCTTCCCATCTGCATCTAAGGTCCTGAGAACACACCTCTCACCTGCATTGAGTCAGACCCCACGAGGCTATGTAATCATCCTGTTGGATGTGGTACCCAGATGGGCAATAGCTAGTTATGGGCTTAATACAGCTACTGTTGGAGATGCTGACTTGGACGGCTGAGTTTCTCTGAGTATAAAGTGAGAGGAGACCTGGCCCACATGTGTAAATTTCTTTCAGTTCTGGCCTTGAATGGTGCCTCTACTAACAGAGGAGGCCTGCAGAACCTGAGTCTGCAGTAGGTCTGTCCCACCATGGCGGTGACATGGGCAAGGCTGGGGCACAGGACCATGGCAGGGCATTCCAGTTCCTCTCCTCCAGCTAATTTATCTCAGCTCAGGTGGAGAGAAAAGAGGTGGAAGCCAGAGTCCTTGGGTTCAACTCCCAGCCCTGCCACTTCCTGTCAGGTGATCTGAGGCAGGCGAGCTATGGGGATAGAAGAAGAGACGATTGCTTGTTGCATGATTGTGAGGATGGGAGATGATGAGGGCAATGGTCCACCATGGCTCTGTCACACAGTAGGTGCTCAGATAAGCATCAACAGTCCCTACTCATGATGTCACTTGTTCCTCAGGCCTGGAAATGTACCTGAAGGCTCTGATTGGAGTCTCTGTGGCCTTCCTCCTGTTACTCTCCATCCTCAGCTTTCTCCTTCTCCGAAGAAGGCGTCAGGGAAAGTTCAGGAAGGATGGTGAGTGCATTGTGGGTGACCTAGGTCTCAGGTGGTGATGGGTTCCTCAAACTGGGACTGGGTAGTCTAGAAACACTGGCAGATCTCAGATCAGAGAGCACGTGATCTCAGAACCTGTGCGATGTCAGGGGTTCTGTGAGCTTTCCATGTCCTGGGACATTTTCTCACTCACCCCTGTTGTGAAAGTCCCTTCCTTCCTTCCCTGCACACGCCTGGGGGAGTCCCCCACCACTAGCTTAGACTCTTCTCTCTCTTGCAGCCCAGAAAGAGACAGAATTGCAGCTTCCTGCAGGAGCTGCAGAGCCAGTAACCAGAGACAGAGGCCCCCCAGGAAGAAATCCTATGTGAGATAAAGAGGGTCTTGGGGGGTTAGCTTTGGGGGGGAGTTCTCATCATTGCAGGGGTGGTGAAGAGGTTCTGAGGTCCTTGCTATTTGGGATTGATCTTCACACATGAACACAGGATATCACCACACTCCCTGGCCCTCTCTCGCCACTTGGACAAGGCAGTAAACTAGAGGTCTGAGACATCTCTAGACTCTGGTCAGGAGACATTCTGTTTTCTTTGTTTATTTGTTTGTTTTTTCTGCTGTGACAGATGCTTCAGTGAAGGACATGAAACCTGAGGATGGTGTCAATCTGGACAGTTTGGTGAGGTCCCTGTCCCCGTTTGCAGTGCTAAGAACTTAGGTCCTAGTTTAGTCCAGGCTGCCTTCTTTTTCCTCCCTCGCTTGGCCCTCAACATCATCCATAGCTGACGACTCCCTTCTGCAACTACCTGGCTCCTGTGTGTTATGGCCTCACTCTGATCTGGGTTTCCTGGGATCATGTGTGTTATCACTGCCGTCTGCTTTCTGACTCCTTGGCATCTGTGCTGTTGTCATCTGAGGGGGCCGCCCTGATGAAGAACCCCAAAGAAACAGCTAAGGGACCTGGAACTGCAGGCAGGAATCAGAGGAACTTGGGCAGACACATGTGTTTTAGTGTTGTATTTAATTTGTGTGGTAGGGGGGAGTTTTTTGCCTTCGCTTTGTCTCTGCCCCACGTGCCTGCATGAGGCTCCCAGAGGCCTGAAGAGAGTGTCAGATACCCTGGAACTTGAGTTAAGAATGCAGGTCACCATGTGGGTTCTGGGAACCAAACCTGGGTCCTCTGCAATAGCAGTCAGTGCTCTTAACCACAGAGACAACTCTTCACACCCCAGAAATGTATTTTCAGGAAGATGGACTCTGTGGGTACAGCCAAGACAGCAAGAAAGGTTTAGAGTGTCAGGATAAGAGGCCAGAACTGTAGGAGGGAAACCCTGGAAGATCCCAGCAGGGATGCTATCACATAAATGGGTCACTCTGGCAGTGCTGTGGAAAACTGGCCAGAGGAAAGTCACAGGGGAACAGGGGAACATTATCTGTCCTCACTACTTGCCTGCTACAGAGACCACCTGAGGAAAACCCCCAGAAACAGACATATGCCCAGGTGAAAGACTCCAGGCTCAGGAGGGCAGAAGCTGTCCTACCTTCTGTCATGTCAAGAGAAGTCCCAGAAACAAAAGAAGAACAAGCAGAAGAGGGCAGAGAGACAGACACTCAGGTTGGTCCTGTACTCCCCAGGGCTTCAGCATCCTGTAAGTCAAGCATGTACCTTCCTCTCACTCTCTCCCTCTCCAGGGTGCAGAGCCCCAAGATGTGGTTTATGCTCAGCTCTGGAGCAGGTCACCCAGACAGGGGACAGCTGCACCTCCTCCCTCCCAGGCAGGAGTAGCCCCAGAGGAGCTCAGTGTATATGCTACTCTGACAGTGACCAGACCAGTTCCTGTTCCCAATAAGGAGAAGCAATGACCCTCTGCCTGCCAGGAGGCCTACAGAGACCTCCAAGGGATTCTGTGACCTTTTGGGAACCTGGCTGCATTGTAACTAACATCATACATTTTGGAAATAAAGCAGATTTCTCTATAGTCAAGTGAAATGAGAAATGATACAGAAGGGAAGGCTTCACACTGAGTACTAATTTAATGTCATTCTCATCAAATTATGAGGTGAGAAAAGTTTCATTCCTGGTTGCACAGATGCAGGATCCCAACCCATGGGAGGCTGAGGCAGGAGAATTAACATTGTTTTGTGGCCATCTAGGGTACCTAATGATTTTAATGTCAGCCTGGGCTACAGAGTGAGACTTGCTTTGAACAACATCAACCACTAAAGTCCAGGCTATAGGTTCACATCTGACATCCTAGGACCTTGGAGCATGGACAGTTGGATCAAGAAGTCAAGGTCATCTTCACCCTCATAGCATAGGGGTAAGAGGCCAGCCTGGAACACATGGGACACTGTTTTAAAATTAATAAATAGGCCAGGCATGGTGTCTTCAAGCTCAGCACCTAAGAGGTATAGAAAGACAGATCCCCTAGGAGAACTGATCTAATGATGAGTTTCTGGACAACCATGGCTACACAGAGAAACCTTGTCTGGAAGCATAAATAAATGAAATAGGGCCAGTGAGATGGCTTAGTCACTAATGGTACTTGTCACCAAGCTGATACACTAAGTTGTATCTATCAGTAGCAATAGGGTAAGGAGAAAACTAACTCCCACAACTTGTTGTCTGACCACCTATGTCTTTGGTGTCCTCACTACACCCAAGAATAAAGAAAAAATTAAAAGTAAACTAATAATTAGAAATGGAAGATGTGTATGGTGGTTTATCCCTGTAATCACATCAGGCTGGCCTCACACTTGCTGTCCTTCTGTCTTGGTTCCAAGCATTTGCAACCATGTATTCACTTTATTTTCTTAAAGTTGGGTTGTGATTTATTAATGTTTCTGTGTGATTTTATAATATATATTTATAATTTTATAATATATATAAGATTTTATAATATATATATATATATAGATACACAAAACCATGGAGGCCAGAATAGACACTGATGCTGAAGTTATAGGAGTTTGTGAGATACTTTATAGAAAATGAACTCAGTTACTCAATGAAAAAAATTAAATACAAAATCTGAGTGAATTCCCTCACGTTGAACACACAGTCACTAGAAGAGATCCCCTTTGGAAATTCTCTTCCTGGAAGCTGGTGATTTTATCAAATATTAGTGCGTTTGAAGTAAAGTCATTGTGAGCCTAGAGAAAGAGGAAATATTATGCAATATATTTTATTAAACCAGAAAATAATTATTAACAAAAACTTACAAAAGAAAACCTTATTAAGAAAACCTAGGAAGCCTTTCCGCCGACTCATCACAGACCAGACCAGACCAGAGTCCTCATCCAGTGGCTGATGAGAGCAGAGACAGACATCCACAGAAATACACTGAGCTGAAATCTGGAACCTAGTTGAAGAGAGGGAGGAATGAAGAACGAAGGGGTCTGTACCAGGTTGGAGAA